ATGAAATGGGCCCAAAAAAAGAAGGGGGTCCATTTTTTATGAAGGGTGTTCAAAGAACAAAACTAGCTACGCTCCGGAAGGTGACAATGTCCGTCTGTTCTGTAGCTTTCAAAAACACAGGTGGGGAAATGAGTTAATCTAATTGTCCTCAAGTCCCGATGTTTATAACCTTGACCAAACTAGATCCTCATATGGGCATTAGAGTTCAAGTACGCAGAATATCAATATCAAAATAGTGCATGGCCTAAATCAACAACAAATAAGATAAAGATAGAGCTATCTTTTAGTCATTCAAAGTATGACACAAAATGGAGCTTCACAACCCATGCATTTACACAAGTCCATAGTTTCATACCATCCATTAGTACCAATCTTCACGCATTCTTGTACCTTCAGGACAAACTACCTACGGTGCCTTGCATATTCCGGGCTCCTGACTCGGTCATACGTGGGTCCGTTGTACCGATCATAGACAGGGCTACGCGCGCGACCGTAATCAGGACTGGGCCTGTTTCTGCGATAAATCGGGCTTGGTGATCTTCTATACGAAGGGCTGTCCCCACCCCCACGCCTTAAATTGTCTCTTCTAGGAGGGCTATCAAGCCTGTCACCTCTCTCATCATCATCTCTAAGGGCATACTCTACCGACACCACCCTGTCAAGTATCTTACTGCAAATTAAAAAACTCAACTATGAGTACATTCTCTCAATGTAACAAAAATATGCATTAACATAATGCTGCTTAAGGGCATTCATTAACATTCTCAAACCCTATAAAATTATGTCTCTTTGGCCAAGGTGCAAATTTTCTTTCCAAGGAAGGTAAAATAGTTACAAGTTAACTTTTTTTAAAATGTTTATTGAAGTTGTACCTCTGTATTTTAAAGTTTGCTACACTTTCCCTTTTTGGTAAGTTTTTTCCTTTAAAAATACTCAATTACCCTTATTTTTCCTACTTTTTATCTTCTCGTTCATACTTTTTTACCTTCTCTCCTACTTTTTCTACACTATTCATTACCCCTATTATTTCTCTTAAATGTTGTGCCCAAACCTAATGTAGAGAACTTTGAAATACAGAGGGAGTATTAATCTTGTTTGTTACTTTGCTTTGCTAAGTAACTTGGGGAACTGTTTTACTCAAAGGAGTCCTTTTATTGAGGATATTCCGTAGCAGGACTTCTGAAGAAGAACTTCTACCACCTTTATTTGCACAAAGGGGGTAGAAGAAAGAGATTATTACCTCATATGGGTGCACTCCAAAGCTTTGGTTGCCTCTTCCAGAGTTTCAAACTGGACAAATGCAAAATTCCTTCGAATACGGACATGGTGGATTTTCCCATACGGTTCAAAGTGCCTCTCTATATCACGAACTCTAGTCCGGTGAGGATCAAAATTGATCACAAACAGTGTCTTAGTTGGCCTCTGGTTAGCCACAGACTTTGTTCCTTCACGGTGTCTACTGCCACGTTCACCCTGTGATAAATAAAAAAAATTAAGAATGATATAATAAAGACAACGAATATTTCTATTAGCAAGAGTTGTTCAGATGAATCCAAGAGGACAGAAAATACCCTCGCCCATTCTACAGAAAGCCTGCGCTTGTCATACCCAAACGGAACATTATCCAAATGACGAATAGCATCAGCAGCATCACGCTCATCCTCAAAGTAGACAAACGCAAACCCTACCATTGAAAATAAACACATTAAAAATTAAAACAGTGTATATAGATCAGCCAAGGACTACAGTTTTTTTCCGGAAACATTATATAACATGTAATATTGCAAGTCTCTCCTGGTGTGGAATGTAATAAGAATACAACACCTGCAGGCATGTGAAGGACTGAAGAAAGCAAGAGGATGTAGAGGCATTGCAAGAAGTAAATGATGATTTGGTTGCTTATTAAAGGGTTTATATCCACAATTGTGAGTTCTGAGTACTCATCCCTAAGAATGCTTCACCAATTTCACAGCGGGAGATCAGACTAACAAGTAGAAGGCATGGCATGATATAATTCTTTGATTGATCCCCATTAAACTTAGTAGTGATTGATGGTAGTAGGCATGGCATGATGAACTGACAGTATTGCAACACGACCATTCTTGTTAAATGTCAACATGGATAGTAGTAAAGTGAGTGGGTGGTCAATGAACTGATGGTCGTATAAAGAAATGTAGACGTGCACACACTTCCATCCATGGGTGGAAGAAGAGAGCAGGCTAGCACAGATAGGTTTCCGTTGCTTTAGAATGTTTATTATTGCAGACACAGGTGTTGAGCCAAAGATAGAAGCTCATTTTCCCTTAAGACATGTCCCTGCGTCAAAGCAAACACTTAAATATGGCTGACAATTTTTCCAGAAAAAATTGTTCCATTAAGATCTCTCTCCCATTAAAGGTTGCACTTTTTAGAATATGCTGCAACTATTGTCAGCCATAGCTAGTACTTCCATTCTTCTGCACACATATGTGATCTAAACATATAGAGTGCTGCATACAATATGATCTAACCATATAGAATCATACTGCTTTATTTAAAAGTTGATGTCCTGTGAGAGGTCAAGCACATGTAGGATTATTTGATTCTGTGTAGTACATCAAGCAGTGAGACTATATACATCGAGAAAGTAAGGAGCACATATGTGTTACTAGGCAGATAAAAATGAAACCTACTACACAAATCACGTATAACTATTCCCTGCAGACTATAAAATCACAAATGCACGACTTAAAAATTACAACACACCATTTCATGTTCAGAAAAACACTGAGATCAGATCAGAAAAATACTGATGCCTTAACTGAGACATTCCTTTGAACAATGAGCACTGATGCCCAGTAAGCAGTGGAGAGAACAGATCAATCAAATTACTAACCATAAGATAACTGGAATTGAAAATAACAATAGGAAAAGAGGAATGTTCATCAAGAGACGATAACCAAACAAAAGAAAGTTCGCATCAGTACCAGATTTCATGTCAACACGATCGACTCTCCCGTGTTTAGAAAACAGTCGCTCCAGATCCGACTGGCGAGTCTCATACTCAAAATTGCCAACGAAAATCGGCCTCATCTTTAGCTCGAGCAATCAACGAGATGCGCCTAATGCACCGTTTATGGTTTCTTAATAAAGCCAAACATCAAGAGCAACAATCGAGAATAAATGATTTATGACGAGTACTGAAATTATACGATGTTTAGTTTATACTCTGTATGAAGAGAGGGATGGCCGGAAGCTTACTAATCGAAAACCCTAACGAATAACAGCAACGAAAGGCAGGCAGGCAGACGAATGCCAGGTCAGGGGTCAAAGCGATGTTAAAAGCCGTGAGATGGGCTTTTGGCTTATGAATCTCATGAGATGGATAACATTGGGCCCAATCCAAAATGGTTAGCTTTACATTACGGAATACGGAGTACAATTTAGTGTTGGTTTCCAAATGTTTTAAAAAATGTTTTTAGCTTTTGGTTTAAAAAAACACTTATTTTGTCAAACACTATTAACTTTTACTTTTCTCGACTTTCGTGTCAAAAGCTATTTTACTTTTTCTATTACACTAAAGGACTTACTTTACCAAACACTACTAACTTTTACTTTTCAAAATCACTCTTTTCTCAAACACTATCAACTTTTATTTAATCACTTCTCCTCATTTCATTAAAAAAACCACTTTTTTGAAAGCAGAAGCTGTTGCAAACAACACCTTTTTTAATAAGATTTGGCCTTTTATGAGAAATATTGCTATTAATGTATTAAAGGGGAAACTAATTTTAATTAATATCCTAAAATTTGAAGCAATGTGACATAAGTATTTTAAACTTGCACATTAAATATATATACTCCAAACTTTACATCAAAAGTTATGTTAGCATCATGATCATATATATTTTTGCACAAATGTAAAGTTATGGTGTTATTTACATAATTTTAAATGCACAAAACATTTATGAGGATGCAATTAAAATTAAAGTGTACCAGATGTAGTATAATTTATTTCACAACTGGAATTTTAGAATGAATATTTCATTCTAACAAGGCTTAGAGTATTTTAAGTTATATAGTTATTCTAATAAATTCGCATTTGTAAAATGTGATACTACACCTGAATGTACTTGAAACCTTGACTTAAAATCTATTCTATGTATTTGAACTCCCTATAATTTATCATGTGTTAAATGATCAAAGATTTAATTAATAAATGATTAATTAAACGTTTTATTGGGCCCGGACTTTGGCAGACTATAAGGATGAACTACCTAACATTAAAAGGAAAATACCACAAATAGGCTAAAAGTTTAAAATAATATCACTTTTGTCAATCTTAAAAATTCTTTTCAAAAATAGACAAAATAGACAAAGTGAAGATCTCATTTCATAAACAGAACTCATCAGGTTAACGCATCGTTCTTCCTTGGAAGCACAGTCAAATTGCCAAAAAGGAAGCTATGCACAGATGCACTCATGTAATCTTGCCACGTTAGCAAGCAAAAGTAAAAAAGTCTTCTCTCAAAATTTATTCAACATCGAAAAGCGTAGACTACAAATTAATTTTAAAAAAAAATTAAAACGCATTAATTCTTAAAAGAATAAATTATAAAAAAAAATGAAATATATGTTAAAAAAATTAAAAAATCTTAAAATTTTTAAAAGAGTAAAAACTTTTAAATATTAAGATTCTAAAATATTCTAAAAAATAAAATAAAATTTAAAAATCATAAAAAAAGTGAAAACTGATTCTTTTTAAACCCCCCAGGAATACAAATATGAAAATTTGAGGTTAAAGAATGCATAAAAAATCTAAAATTAATATATAAAGTTTGAAAGTATTCAGAAAGTTTAAAATTATTGTAAAATAATAATAATGGAAATAAGATTCGTTGAATTTTTAAAAATGCATGCATAAAAGACGAAATTTGAAAAGAAAATTGTACGGGGGGGGGGGGGGGGGTTGTAAATATAAAAATCTAAATACCTGAAATTTATAGAAAAAATAATGTAAACAAGATAATAATTTTTTTAAAATATTTTAAACATGAAAACTGATTGTAAAATTTAGGAAAGAGAAGTTTGTTTAATCAGTAATTCAGTATCTATAAAACGAAAAAACATCAAATAAATATATTAAATTCGAAAACATAATAAAAATATATATTAAGAAAATTACAGAAAATTAAAGTAAATGAAATGACATGTAAAATATTAAAGGCTGGAAAATAAAAATGCGGAAAAGGTAACAAAAATGTCAAAACAAATAAAAACCAAAAAACTAAAATATAAAGTTTTTAATTTAAGACGTTAAAAATAATTATAAATTTGTGTTTTTAATATTATCAATATATTTTTACTCTTGTTTCATATTGTTTCTTTGTGTTTTTGTTGTTGATGTTTTAAAACTTTTGTTTTTTATTGTTGCTTCATGTTTCTTTTTATTGTTGATACTCATAAGTCCATTTTTATCATGTTATGTATTTGTATATAAATCTATATATGGTTATTTATTTTAAATAAGTAGCTAAGATAAATATAAACCTAAAAAAACAAAATATAAAATCAACAACTCTTAACAATAAGCAACACAATGCAACAAACGATGCAACAAAAAGCAACAATATGCAACAAAGACATGTGTGATGCAACAAAAAGCAACAAAAAATAACATATAAAAGTATATCAACAAATACATGATTCAACATATTATTTCAATTGATTAGATTTATTATCATATCATTTCAGTTTTGTTCTTCTCATTTCTTCTTCCTTTTATACATCTCGACCAATACACAAAGTCATAAAGTTTGTCTCTCTTGTCTTCATTTTTCTCGTAGATGTTGATATACTTTCTCTTATGATCCTGCAATGCAAAAGCAACCCCTATAACACAATTTCGGAATAGATTATTACAAGGAACCCCTACACCTATAAATGTGATTTACCAAAATATTTCCTAACAAGAAGACAACAAAATAAACAATGGAAAATAACAAAGTTTAAGCAAAGGTTGTGGTATAAGCAGCTAGATAAAAACCAATACACACCCGCAATTACACGTGCATTAGAAGTTAACTTCACGAGATCCGAATTCGAGAACTCACACTACAAGAAAAGGCATCTTTTGTGTCAACATTTTGTCGACGCAAAAGACTAAAAGTCGACGCAAATAGTGTTTTTGCGCCCACCAGTCGACGCAAAAAAGTCGACACAAAAAGCTTGACGCAAATAGTTTTTTAGCGTCCACAATATAAGCAGAAGGCTCTGTCGAGTCTTCTCCAAACCCTACCATTAGATCTTACACCAGTCCATGCATATGTATTACCAAAAAATGGTAAATCCACAAGAACACAATCTGAAATGCAGTTTTTAAAATCAATCATACTCTGAATATCTGGGCTAGTATTCCCCATATGTTCCCCATGATCAAAAATAGCATTAAAGTCTCCCCCAATCATCCATGGCCCCCTAATTTGACCAGCATAAGATGTTAGAGAGACCCACAACTTTCTCCTCTGTAACACAGTATGATGACCATATATACCAGTGATCCAGCCAGAGAAAGAACCAGATGAAACCTTAAAAGGAATGAATTGAGGATCTCAAGTTACCTCTGAAATGCTGAGATAATTTGAGTCCCAAAACACCCAAATGTTATTGTTATTAGAGTAAATAACATCACTAAAACCAAGCTGCAACTTGTACTGAATAGCTTTATTAATATCAACCAAAGGTTCAATAATAATGAGTAAATTAATCCTTCAATTCTTAAGATGACTACTCAGGCTTGGACTGGAGACTGCCAAACCCCTTAGATTCCATACAAGACAATTCATTTAGAAGGATTGGTAATAGTTTTAGGCAGCCTTTTGGCTGTACTTCTGGTTTGCATCGAGAAACTCTCCACAATTTTAGGCTTCCTATTTCTTCTTCTCCTTCCCACTTGTATGAATCCTTGTGCTTCTTCGTTTTCGTTGGAATTTGTAGCAGGTTTGGAGGCAAGAGCATCCAATAATTCAGAATCAAGGACTTCACCCCTGACATGTAACATAATTGCCACCTGCTGTTAATAGAAGGTAACTCTTCTATCCATGATTCAACATTTTATGAACAGTTAGGCACATCTAAATCTGATGCATACTCCTTTGCAGCTTTTTCTGGGTCAAGATCTAACACCTGCTGCATATGGTGAATGTTGTGATCATCCTGAGCTCTCTGAATGCCTTGCAAGCTAGTGAGCGTGAGTCCTGGAATGTCATTATGCAAAATATGTTCTAACTGCAGTTTGTCCACTCTATCACTTTCATCTATTTTATCTGCACGTGGAGTGATTGCTAGAGTTGCATCCGGAGGAGCTTCATGATAAACTCTTCAACATCAGAATCAATAGGAGAAGATGTCTGCTTCCCAGATGGTCCTGAAACTTGTTCAATCACAGTATTAAAATCATTAGGAGCGCTTTGGACTTCTTTCCCCTTCCCAGAAGGTCCTGACACTTGATCAATCACATGAGTGATGGCCAAGACATTAGGATCGTTTGCAGTTTTCTGAATTTGAACTTCTTTCCCCTTCCCTGGTTCTGTAATAATAACCCCCTTTTGTTTTTCTCCGTAGCTAGAAGTACTAGCCTTTGGGTTAGTAGTTATTGCCTTCCCTCCTGAAGGTTCCTTCCCCAGCGTAGTATTAGTTTTAGGACATTTTGCCTTATCATGTCCCAGATGAAGACATGAAAGACAATAGGATGGCCTATTTTCATAAATCACTGGCTGAATAAAACCAATTCTGCCAGCTTGAATCCAGATCTTGGTAGGCATATCCTTAGTAAGATCGACTTCAACACAAACTCTCGCTACCCATGGCTTTGAGAGGTTTAAAGTAGCTGAATCCAACTCCAATGAGTTACCAATGAGTCGTGCAATGTCAAACAAAGCTCTCTTATCATGTAGGTGTATTGGTAACCCCTCGAAAGAAAGCCAAACTGGAACAACTGGAGACTCGATATTAGGCCTAAAATCCATAGACCATTTAGTGACACACATAGTACTACCAAAAATGTCCCACGTCTGCCTATTCTAACACCGTAGGTAATCTTCCTCCAATTCGAATCTGATCAACACATGTTTTTTCTCCAAAAGACCAAGTTGGAATTGTCCTTTGAAACCGATAATTTCAAAAGATTTTCTCAAAGTGGCCAATGATGGCCGAGCCTTAAAGAAATAACCTACCAGAGCATTTTTATGTTTAGCAGCCAAAGTATCTACAACAGCTTCTGAAAAAGTCACGACCGACAGACCTTTGTATTTTGAAAAATTAGCCGCCTGAATGGGTTCTGCCGCCTTACCCATCAACG